ACACGCCCCGCGCCAGCACACACACCACACACACCACACACACACACACACACACACACGCACGCACAACGCACACACAACATGCCACACCACACCACACACACCACACACACACACACATATACACACACACCACACACACACACACACCACACACACCACACACACACACACCACTTAATGCTAGGCAAGTGAATATGACAATTTTCATCATCCACTCTAATAATATGTTATAGCAGCGAGTACATTGAATAGGAAAAGAGGCCTTCTATTCCAGGACTGCTGGTGTATCCATATATCATAATAATTTATATTCAAATTTGCCTCCCAAATGCGTTCGGGTGACAAGCTGCTGATCGCGATATGCAGGAATTTACAGAAACTAGAGACGACAGCCTGTTACCGCTTGTGAAGCCAAACACACGTACGAACGCACATCGTATACACACGTCACGCACGCACACACACAACGCGCCGCGCACGCCACACTGCCAACCGCGCGATAAGAACGCACCACACACACACAACACCACACACAACACACACACACAACACGCACGCAAGCACGTACACACACGCACACACACTAACACAACCACCGCACACGCACGCACGCACCCACACGCAACGGCACGCACACGCACGCACACGCGCGCACACGCACCCACACGCACATGCACACGCACACACGTTACACACAACACACACCCCGCACGCACGCACGCAACGCACGCACGCACGACACTGCGCTCACACGGCCCACCGGACGTCCAACGCCCCTACACACACCACACGCACACGCCACACACCACACACCACCCACGACGCACGCACGCACGCACACACACATGCACACACACACACACACACACACACACACACACACACCCACAAACACACACACAACAACACACACACACTAACATATATATATACACATATTACGCCTATTCTGTCAGTCAGCGGAGAGGCAGTACCCTCCTCGGTCTTATATCAACCACTGAATGTCGAGTGGCTTCAGCCGTCATCGCGACCGCAATGACGCAGATTAGAAACAACGAGGCAACGGACGACGACGATGGCTTTGATCGGTTTTACGAGGGGGTTTGGGAGATCGGAGACAATGGCCGCCGTAACAGTCCATATCGTCGACGTTTTACTCGACGTCGAGGGACAACGCGAGATTACAAACAGTCGCCGTTGCATTCACGGATTTACCCACATAGCCGCCAGACACGCGCCCGCCGCGCGACCAGTGGATGAAAACGAGACGATTGCAATTTTTTTCTTTTCGCGCGCGCGGAGGGAGATAGCGGCCGGCGCGTCCGGGGATATATCTCCGCTCCGCCCCGCGTCGGTAACTGCGAGGAGCGCATGCGAAGAGGCTGCATGGCTTCCTCGCTCCGCTGACTGCGGGCAGATGAATAACGCGGGACTGGGACCAAGTTTGTAAGAGTGTAAATGTAAGTTGTGTAAGTGTGAGTAAGAGTAAGTATACGAGTCAGTAGTATAAGTGCCTACAAGACGCCGGCACGCTTTGCGTGTTGTACGTAAATCTCGTCGCTCGTCACTTCGCTTACGCCGCCTAGCAGAGATCGGTAGTTCCACCGTACACCAGCGCACGAGCCTACACAACACAGTACACAACGCACGAGACGCCTATACATACGCCTACACAACGCCACGCCCACGCGCACGCGCGCACTCACCTACAACGCCACGGACGCAGGCTAGCAGGCACCACACGCGCACACAACATACATACATCTACAGACAGACATGCACACACCGCTCACGCACCAACGCTGTTCACACACCGCGCTGCGCTCCAAGGCACATGCAACAGACCTTACCCCACTACGCAAGCACTTTACACTCGTAGTGCACGCCACACAACACGCATCGCACGCACCTAACCGCCAGCGCTTGGCCAATCGAGTCGCGACAGCCTGACTTACTTCACCTCATCTCCTTCATTCCTCTCTCGAACGTAAGAAGCAGACGACGCAAAATACGCCCGCGGTTTATTTTAAAGTCCGTGGATTGTACGTCATTGCGGTAAATTACGCTAACCGGGGTCAAGAGATTACGTGAGAGAACAGATAATGGGGAGAGAGAGAGACCAATCCGAACGAGACAGCGAGAGAGAGGAGAGCACGGACCTGAGAAAGCTAAGATTAGGAGAGAGAGAGAGAGAGAGAGAGAAGAGATAGAGGAGAGAGGAGAGAGAAAAGAGCAAAAGAGGGAGCATGAGAGCAGAGAGAGAGAGAGAGAGCGAAGACAGGAGAGACGCAAGCAGTAGGAGGACGCTGAGCAGAGAGGAGAGACGAGAGGATCGTGATAAGATGAGTGAGAGAGACGGCCACCATGACCAGACCCACCGAAAGTAGAGAAGGAGCACATGAGGAGGGAGAGAGAGAGAGAGAAGGAGAGAGCTTGTGAGGCACGCATCCATCGAGGAGAGAGAGAGGGAGAGAGAGAGAGAGAGAGAGAGAAGAGAGGACAGAGAGAGGAGACGAGGAGAGAGAGATGAGAAGAGAGAGGCAAGAGAGGGAGAGAAGGAAAAGCGAGGGAGAGGATAAGATAGCGAGGGAGTAAACGTGAAGGAGATAGATATAGAGGTGGGAGAGCGAGCGGGAAAAGAGAAGAGAGACGGAGTGTAGGCGAGGGAGAGAAGATAGAGGGAAAGAACGAAAGATAAGAAAGAAAAAGGAGTGAGAAGCGAAACAGAGAGAGAGATAGAGAGAGAGAGAGAGAGAGAGAGAGAGAAAGATGTGAAGAGACGAGGAAATAGAGGCCACGCGAGCGTGGAGAGAGAGGGGGCGAGAGGGAGGGCGGGTGCGAAAGACAGAATAAGGTAGAGAACGAAAACCGAGAAAGAAAAGGAATGCGAGCGAGAGATAGAGGAGTCCAGAGAAAGAGAGAGAGAGAGAGAGGAGAGAGAGAGAGGAGAGATGAGGAAGGAGAGGGAGAGAGGAGAGAACGAGAGGACGAGACGAGAGATGGAATGAGAAAGGAGAACGAGAGCGAGAGAGAGAGAGAGAGAGAGGAGAGAGAGAGAGCAGAAAAAGCGCAGCGCTGCGCCCCGCTGGATGAACACAACATATTGCCGAAACGACGAGGCGGCCAAGATTAGACGAGTCGGCGTGGACTGCGATGTCATTCTCAACACACGATTTGCCCCTCAGTCGCGTTCCTTTCGTGGTTCATAAACCGACGTAGTTCGATTGCAACAATCCCCGCTTTTTTTATCGAATTACCCTGCTTTTTCCAAACCTGTCGCTCAGTTCGCGTGTGCATGTCTCTCTCTCTACTCTCTCTCTCCCATCTCTCTCTCTTCTCTATATAATATATATCCCTTTTCCTCTCTCTTTCGTACGCACGCACGCGCGCACGTACGCTCTCTATCCTTGTTCCCTCTTTCACGCTCGCTCCTGCGCTCTTTCTCTTATTATCTCATTCTTCCACATCCTTAATATCTCTCTCATTCTGTATCTCTATCTTCTCGGTATGACTTTCTTTCTATTTCCTTTCTCCAACACCCTTGTATTCGCGCGCTCGTTTCTCCCTCCCAAAGCCTCTCTAATTCTCCCTTTTTTTTTCTCGGGCTCTCTCTCCCTTTATCTCTTTTTTCTGGTAGTCCATTTCGCTCCCGGCCTCTTTCTCTGCCGATAGGGTTCCAATGAAAGCAGGGCGGAGCTGTGCGGAGGGGTATTGCGAATAGATGTTTACCCCAGTTGGGGGAAGTATATATGCAGACGGCGTACGTGTATATGTAGCGATGGGGAGAGGGGTTGGCGAGCGAGGATGGTAGATGATGATAAGTCGTGAGCGAACGGCAAACACAACGCTTATCACTCACAGACTACAGCAGCTAATGACATGACACGCGCACGCACGCACGCACCGCACACGCCGCAACGCACGCACGCACGCACGCACGCCCGACACACACACATACACACCACACACAGCACAGCACACAAGCACGCACACCCACGTACACGGACACGCACACGCACACCATACACGCACACGCGACACTCACCACACACACACACACACACACACACACACACACACACACACACACACACACACACACACATCACGTCACTTTGATGCGCCCTAGGGATATTATCTACTTCTGATATATATATATATATATATGCTAGGCAGCAATTCGGCACGGGTCACGAGCGAGCTAGCAGCCAGCATAATCCTCACGTGCGTGTGCGGGGAGAACCCGCAAACCAATTAGTAATTATCGATGTATACACGAACGCGGGATACGAGAGGGCGGAATCGCTCCCAGCGGAGAGGGTGCGAGTAAGAGACAAGCAACGTGAACGCCCTCTCACCAAACGAGGCGAGCTTATGGCAATATTCCAGTGTGCCTCCTACTTCGCCGATGCAGCGAAATTGGGGAAGGTTCTGCGGCATCTTATGCATGGTTTCGCATCCCCATAAACAGAGCCGCTTCATCATGTCTAGCTTAAGAAGAGTCGTATACTGCTCGCCATAGGCTAGCTATATGATTAGCACATTCGGGAAGCCCTCTCACTCGCAGCATGTCATACCCTGTCTGTGTGTGGCCTGTATGCTACTAACATGTTTTCTGGATAGTCGAGAGTGCAAGGCTTGGAATTTCAATAGCATATTACGACATTCCTTTAACGAAGGGAGGCACATGCGAGATGCAGATATACAGAGAGCCGAGATTTCACCCAGAGCGAGTAGTGTTATGTGAGGAAATAGAGGAATGACGGAAAAGGAGAGTGAGTGAGTGCGTGAAAGTGAGATAGAGAGAGAGAGAACTAGAGAGAGAAAGAGAGCAAGCCAGCGAAAGCGCACACAGAGAAAGACGCACGCACGCACGCACGCACGCACGCACGCACGCACGCACGCGCACACACACACACCCTAACGCACGCACGCACACAGAGGGAGACAAACACACACAGCGTGAAACAGCAAGACAGCCGGGATGTGACACTCACCTTACCACACTCTTTGCACTTGCCATCCTGCCTCCGCCTGTGCACCCAGTGATGTCTCATTTGTGCCTGCTGCTGCTGCTGCTGCTGATGCTGATGCTGCAATAAAAAGCCAAGTATGAGTGCTCATCGCATCAAGCCATTACGAAACATTGATAAAGCAACTCATCTCTTTATGTATTTCTGTTCTCACAAATAGATGGAAAACGCGCGACTCATAGCTAGGTCACTAGTGCACCGCGTCTATCACTCATATTTCTGTGTGTGTGTGTGTGTGTGTGTGTGTGTGTGTGTGTGTGTGTGTGTGTGTGTGTGTGTGTGTGTGTGTGTGTGT